TTAATGCCCAAATACTCAAACACTGGACTAGTTAAAGAACTAGTCCAGTGTTACGCTTTCAAAACTAGAGAGTCGATAAGCCTATTTTCTCAATTAAGACGCGGAATTATATAACCTTGTTAAAGAGCTCCTAAGAAAAGATTTAGTGGCCGCAATCCTACTCGAGATCAACGGCGGCTCCTTGATTGTCTTTCACCGAGACGGGTTACAGACAAATAAGGATTTTAATATCTCCTTTTAGTTATGTGTCGGTTTAACTCGAATACGCATAAAGAATGAAAATAAAAATGAAAAATGGAAAACGTAAAATAAATAATGGAACTGAAAGCGAAATATGAAATATGAAAATGAAAATTATATATTTTCTTTAATATGGCTATATACAAAGAAGTTAACATTATCGGTATGGTCTCATGGCTCGTTATTTTATTTTTGTATTCATCTCTTGTGACGAAATAATGAGGGTGCTGCCGGATAAAAATACATACTCGTAACTATACTTAATATAATAAAGCGGAAGAGTTTTTTTGTTTTTTTGTTTGTTTAAACGCGCTAATCTCTGGAACTACTCGTCCGATTTGAAAAATTATTTTTGTATATTATAGCCAGATTCATGTGGAATAGTATATATATAGCATTAAGCTATATTACTCAGCTAGCCTTAAATACGGATATTTGTTAAGAAAGTCAGAAGAAAAAGCACTCCCGAAATGATTTATTCGCGTACGCTGGTGTTATCGTTAGGGATACGTAAATACAATGTTCTAGAAAAATATAGACCTTTATTCCGTCTAAAAAAAGTCTGCCATACCATATGTCTATTTCTTATACATAAGCCATAATTTGGTATTTTGTGACAAAAAAATATTGAAAATTTAAAAGTGATTTATGAGCGTTATTATTAGGCATGGCCTATTTATCTTTACGAACGAAAGTTACTTCATCATCAAGACAATTTTATGAAGATAATCTTTTTTCTTTATACCATGTTATTTGGACGCATAGTTTAAGAGGTAATGTAAAATTAAAATAATTCAATACTTGCCTGGGCGCGCGAACGACGCTTAAACCCTAGCCGTTATAGAATGCTTGAACTAGGTCATGTCGCGCACCTCGGACACGTGATGACGCGGGTGAAACCGTGGGGCACAGCTAGTTTGCTTTATATTTATGCACGGAAATGGCACATTTTGAAGTTTCCTGAATAAGACTTTACCAAATTGCCCTGATGTTTGAAGTTTATTACCTCATTGAGGTGTATTACCTCTTTTACATTAAGCAAATTTCGCGAGGATTATTTATAATTAAACTATTTAAATATAAAAAAAGTAAAACCGACTTTACAAACAAAAAGGAATAAAATAATTTCCACCTAATAGCTTATGAAGTCGGTTTTACCCGACATTAAAAACTTTATTCCCTATTATCCATAAAGGTTAATATTCTTAAATTTTTTATTTGATCACCCCTGAAATATATTCCGGTTCAGCTGTTTCCGAGATTTCGGTGAACATACTTCATACGCGTCAAATATAAAAACTTTTTTTTAAACTCGGATAAAATTAATATTATATTTTTTATATATAATATACTTGTAATTTGTTTAATTTTATTGCATTAAAAAAACTGAAAGCTAAAATTAAAAAGTGTTTATAACGATTTAAAAAAAATATAATATTATTTTTACGCGGTAGAGCTAATATGAAGTTGCATTGACCTCACTTAATAATCTTGCATGTTTATGTGACAAGGACCGGAGATGCTTTTTACCGGTAACGAAGCATTCCATCTTTATTCACAGGAGTGAAATGCAAATTGTGCATTATAGGATAGACGTAGGTATTTATGGGATTCTTTAAGAAAATAAAGTCCACGTGGATGTCTAAACAATAATTAAATTATAATTTTGTCTTTATGTTTAGCATCTAAACTATAAAAATATAACTAAAAAAACTAACTTCTTTGATAATGTTTTATATTTATGTGATCTTTCTTTCTAAAGTTCTAATAATTAAAATGTAGATTTAATTTATAGTTTTGAACTTTATTAAGGTGTAATGCAATTAAATGGTTACTTTTAAGTATTAGTAAATATTAAAGCTATGGTAGAAGTAATTTCAAATAATGATATAAATATCATAGTGTAAATAAATTTTGAAGCTATTAAAAATATACTTAGAAATAAATATACTTAGAATTTTTATACCATGTTGCAGCTATATTAGTAGTATATATAGGACTACGCTCTCACAGAATACCAGCGTAAAAAAGCAACTTAACACTGCTGTGTTTCGTATGGTGAGTGTAGAGAACCGGAGACCCATTTTACTGGAAAAGAGGCATTCCATCTTAGCCTCACGGGTGACAACGCATCTGCATTTTGATTCGTAAACGAGGATGAATCTAGATGTCTATGGGCCACAGCAACCACTTACCATCAGGTGGACTTTGTGCTCGTTTGTCATTCTATACTATAAAAAAAAATAACACTTTCAAATAAAGGCACAATTTTACCTTTGAAAGCTGACACAACCTTAACTATATAGCAAAGACAATTTTAGAAGAAAAAAGGCAAAGCCCATTGTAACCTGAACTAACTATTTACGAATCTGTTGTTCTTTCTTTATGCTATTTGATAGTAGTAAAACTTTTAGCTGTAAAATTATGTGAATTATAATGATGTCATCACAATACAGTGAATCATCAATTGTAATAATAATAATGTTTTCCAGACCGAATTTCGGTCACGGCGGCTCATCTCAAAGGGAATTAGCCATCTGCACATGTCAAGATTATAGTGCCCAAGTGAATGCGCAAGCACATGTGGTTGCACTCTCTATTCCCTCACTCTGCCTCGAACTCGATTGGAGAGAGACCAGGTGCAGGAACAGAGGCTTTACATGCTTTCCAAGGCACCTAGGTGAAACACCACTTCCTGACTTTGGGCTACTACTTCCTGCTATCAGTAGCAGATTTTCACAATCCTCAGAAATTTCTTGACAGAAACTTGACTTTGACCCGACCCGGGATTCGAACTCACATTTCGCGCACAACGCATTTACGACAACAAGATTAAAGAAGCACTCGGCTCTAATAGAATGTATATAAACTATTTCCATCTTAAAACAAGTCTCAGATTTAAACTGGTCTGTTTTAATAAAGAATTTCCGTGAAAATATGCGAATTAAAATGTAAAGTATGTATGGAATTTGACAGTCGGATTTCACAAAGACTAGCGCCGCGGCCAAGGGATTTTATTCGTGATAAAGACTCTTCTTTAATCCTGATACGATCAATAAATTTGTAGTAAGATCGTTTTTAGGGTTCCGTACCTCAAAAGGAAAATACGGAACCATATAGGATCACTTTGTTGTCCGTCTGTCTGTCTGTCAAGACCTTTTTTTATCAGGAACTCATGGAGGTATCAAGCTGAAATTCATATCAAATAGTCAAATCTACTGTCTCTTGAAGCTATGAAAAAATCAAACTTCTAAGCCGACGCAATCAAAAGATACAGCCGTTTATGCCGCAAATTTTCGACACTCGCAAGGGAATCAAAACCTACAGGGTACTTCCTGTGAACTCAGAAACTTAAAATTTGGTACGAAGCAATGTATTACAGCACAGATAAAGGAAAAATTACGAAAAGCATAAATTTTTAGTTACATCATATATTAAAAATATTTTTAATAATTTTAAACTTATATACCTACGGATTTGTTCGGAACCCTCGGTGCGCGAGTCCGACTCGCACTTGGCCGGTTTTTTAAAGAATAAGAATGACAAGCAAACACACAGTTCACTTGGTGGTAAGTGTATGTGCGTGTGGCCCATAGATATCTACATCTACATCTATTTAAGAATCAAAACGCAGATGCGTTATCATTTAGATCCATGCAACAAATATTTACTCATTTTCACCTTTCCATATTATGCAATGTAAATGTAAGCCCTAAACCATTCGAGCTAGGGTTAGGCAATAATTATTTACAAATATAAAGGTACATGATTTATAAGGAATATATATTTTTTAATCACAACAAAAGGTAAAACGAAGCTGATTTTTTAATCGAGTTCAGCATTTATGAAACGTGGTAACTTGAGCATGAGGCGCTTTCCTTTTATTTCGTAGTGCATGAGCAATCCAATTTCAATCCTTGCCGTTGCTACTGAAATTGTTAACCGTAGTTTGAGCAGATTTCGGGAGGTTACAATTAGTATTTTCGTTGCTCGTCTGTTAGCGATTGCAGTGTTATCCGGGACGTGTGTTATGTATTCATATAAATTTAATCTGATATATAAAAAAAAACTTTTGTTTGTTCGTATTTTTTGTGCTACAATACCGTTTATCAGATGGCGGTAAAACTTTGTCAATTTATTGCTTACACTTGCGCGAAGGGCATAGGCATAGTCTAATTAACTTACAGCAGGTGGCGCATGTATCGTACGATAATTCATTTGAAAGTTATATATCATTTAACTTCAATGAATGCATTATCATTTGCAATTAAACGATACAACTATTCAAAATATAAAACGATATTTCCACAATTATTTATTCTGCGGCAGCAACGTGCCGGGTACCAGCTATAGTCGTATTTTTAATTAGACGAAGTCAACTGACGTTTACTGTGTTGTCAGTTTTTGATGAAATAAAAATAGTGTTGTGACAAAGTGAATGATTGAAAAACTCCTGAATTAATGAAATTGCCTCGATTGTCTAGTGAATAGTTAGTGTGCTGAACTGCCGATATCGGGTACGGGGTTCGAATTTTAGTCGTGCTTTGTACATACCAACGAGTTTTCGACGACTATGTTCCTATAATATCTACCTATACTGAATACCGAGTGTTTTAAACATTAAGGAAAATATTGCGAGGAAACTTGTAAGACTGTCCTATTTTCAATACATCATGTAGTTGAAACTATAGATGTATAAAATATAACAATTATAGGTAGGTAATGAGAATAAAAAAAATCGCTTATTACATAATTTGTTTTTATTCATTATCAGATAAAAAATCATCACTATCGCTTTCGGTGACATTAATTAAAAATCTGTCAGTAACATTGTCAATCATGTGGTCGAGACCATACATTTTGTCTTCTTTTTTAATTATATGAGACACGCAGCTATTCCATTTTTCAGGTGTGATATGTTGAAGTCCTTCTTCAAAAAGTTTTTTTACTTCTGTCATTTTGAAGGTTTTGTTATTTCTTGCAACATATCCTTTAGCCTGCGCCCATACCAACTCAATGGGATTGAGCTCACAGTGGTATGGGGGCAGACGTAAAACAATTATCCCATGCTGCGCTGCCATCTCGTCCACAACATACTTATCGCAATGTTCTTGCTTGTGCTGCCGTACAATGTCTATAAGAGTAGCTTTAACCATTGTTGCTTCGAATGAAATATTTTTGCTCGTTAGCCACTCTAGTATTCTAGGTTTAGTCCAAGACATTTTAGGCAGCGATTCTAGTTTCCTGGAGTGGTAGGGGGCATTATCCATCACTACTACGGAATTTGGTTTTAGTTTTGGCAAGACCCCCCTAAACCACTTCTCAAAGGAATCGGCATTCATCTCTTGATGATAATCTTCTTTATTTTTTTTGGCTTCAAATATTAATAAGCTGTCTTCTACGAATCCTTCTTCCCCGCCTATATGGCCGATAATTAATCGTTTGCCCTTTCCTGAAGGCTGTTTTAAGCCAGTGGTCAAGCCATCTAGGAAGGCCTGGCGGGACGATAACACTGTCTGGTCAATCCATGCCTTCTTCGGTGCATGACCTTCAAGATAGTGAAAAATATCAATTAATTATTGAAAGTACAATTTAATGTAAAGAAAACAGAAAATTGTAATTACCTTCGTTGATCCAGGTTTCATCTTGGTAATAAATATACCTTCCTTCCCTTCGATACTCTTTAATTTTTCGAAGGTATCGCTGGCGCCATAGAATAATGTCCTGTCTGTCAATTAAAATGCTGTGTCTTGATTTTGTGACATATTTGAAATTTAAATGTTTCATAACATTTCTTAATGTACTCCAAGAAAAATTGGGTAAGTCTGGGTCTTCATTGACAACCTTAAGAATCTGTAAAGTAATAAAAATATGTTTTGAGTAAGGAAGTCTACGCAATCTAATACTTTGGTTTTACAAAGAACATTATGGTGGACACAGAATATAATGCAGTAGAAGGAATAAAGTTTAAGTTACCTTTATAATGGTGGGTGACTCATTTGCATAAAAAAAATTATGTACTTTTCGCCTTATAGCGGCAAAAGTAAAATCGTCTAATTTATCTTTGAAACTGTGTTTCGGTCCACGTTTCTCGGGAGACTTAAATTGTTCATTTTCTTTGCATTCTTTTAACACACTGTAAACTGAGGTCACACCAATTCCCAAAATGTCAGCTGTTTTCGAAACACATTCTTTTTTTTCGGGGGCCTCAATAGGTAATAGTGAAGCAGCTTTTTCCTCAAATACGTGTTTGTAGACGTTTTGTATCATAAGTTTTTCGGTAACGCTTAAAGCAATCCGTGGTCTCTTCTTTCTTGGAGACAAGCTTTGGCTTGACGTGCTTGGTTGAGGATCCATATCATTTGTACGAAACAATATAGCAACAAATAAACACAACAATTACCACAAACACAACGTAACGAAAAACTTAACAAAAACAATAACTAAACAGCGTGAGCGCAGAAAAAACATTCGTGCTATCAGACCAGAGGTTAGAAGCCGAATAACAAACAAAATGGCGACCGACGCGCGCGGCGTTGATCGGTGTTGGCAGTAGTCGCCGCGCCGCGCTTTGTAATAAAACCTCAAAAAACTGATTGTAGTTACATACTACTAGTAACTTATATCAGAGCACTTTTATACAATTTTATTGTAAAATAGAAATAATATTATTTTATAGTTTGAAATGATTAACTATACACACTCATTGTTCATTCATCTGATTGAACGAGAACTGAACGCATCACTATTACTTTAAATATGGCAACATTATTTTACAAAGTAACATTAGCTACTGTCAGTTGGCTTCGTCTAATTAAAAATACGACTATAGTGAGAGAGTAGCTAAATTTTAAACTTAATTCAAATATGTATATAAATAATGATATACCATTATTGCAGTTTTTGGAAATAAGTAATAAGTGAGACTTTTATTTATAACTAGCTGTTCCCCGCGACTTCGCCCGATTGGTATTTATTACGATTGGATTTTATGGGTTTAAATATTTTTTGTGCGGAACCCTAATTCCTTTTCTAAAATAAAAGTAGCCTAAGTTAACCCTTATAACATTAACTATCTGCTACTGAAAGTCCAGTCAAAATCGGCCCAGCTGTTTCGGAGATTAGCTGGAAGAAAATTAAAAAAATTGTGTTTTTGTTATAAGTACCGTATATAATTTCATATGCATTTAGTAAAAAGCTGTTATTTTGACATTACAAACAGACACTTCAATTTTATTTATTTGTATAGAATATCCCATACTGAATGTGATTTATGGGCAACAACTACGCGTGTACGTATACGTGTGTACTCCTCTGTGTGCGATTCAATTCACAACATTTTTGCCGACCGATCGACCCTTGCAAATGTGTGCGTACGTAATAAAATAGTAGGAGTTAGATATTTATGAATGACAATCTGTTAAAATAATGCATTACCACGCAATTATTTTATAAATTGAATTTAAAAAATAAAAAGCACAGAATGTTTGCAATGTTTTAAAATTAATTTTTCTTCACCATTTACCTATACTACTTATTCTGAACCTTCTTTGCATATTTCGCCGGTTATTGCAAAATAAACCTGTATAATATATGTTTAGGATGCTTCATCTCCATTTTACTATTGGACGACATGACGAAAAGTTGGATAAAACCTCACATAGCTCACCTACCCTAGACGTGAAGTATTTTACTTCGATGTTCCTGGTGTCTATAGATAATAGAATAGAACTAAATTCTTTATCGATGAAGCAAGGTAGTGAAACAGGGTCTTACTTAGAAGTTCGTCCGGGTTAGTACCACCTTCTTTACCTATTTCTGCTGCAAAACAACAATGTACTGATTACCGTGTTTGAACTGTAAGAGAACCGGTATAGCGATAGGTTATGATATAGTTTCACCTTAATTTATAGGGGTGACAACGCATCTGCATTTTGATTGTCTGCATTTTCGTGTCTATAGGTTACAGAAGGTACTATCGAGCTGGTAGCCTGTTATACCTCATTAGAGACCGGGTTCCCTAAGAGGCGAAAGAAAGAAAACTGAAACAGGAGATTGGAAGTGGCATCTTTCTGATGACAATTCAAAATAATAATAAAAAAACTGCGGTTTCACCGCCGGCCAAGCGCGGCAATTATGGCAAATTACCATAAGGCAATCTATGTGGAGTTTTATAGGCTGTGATAAATAGATGGAGGGATGGAAGTAGGCAGTGATTTACAGGTGATATACGTATGCTTATAGTTTAATATAAACATTATTTTGTGCATTTACAATGATGTAATTTTTATTTACTATTTAACCGACTTTAAAAAGGAGGAGGTACTCAATTCGACCGTATGGTTTTTTATGTGTGTTTCCTCATAACTTTTTTCTAGATTACCCGATTTCCATGATTCTTTATTTATTTGAGAGCTGGTGCACTTCATGTGGTCCCATATAAATTTGATCAAGGTCAGTTTTTGAGTTATCCTTAATAATTTATATTGAAGTAGGTTGTACAAAATTTTTAATTTAAATAAAAAAAGATTTGACTACTTGTTGTGCATTACTATGCAGCATCAACGTCAAACACTTTATGAGATGATGACTAGTGAAAAATGCCTTAAGCCATTAAGTCCAGCCTTAAACATGCTGTCCATGAATTAAAGATTTGAGAATAAATAAACAAATATGCTGTTCGATGAATTACGGTTTCTTATTTCTAGCACTATGTTAAAAAAACCTACTACCGATATTGTTAGGTTGATAATGCCAAATTTGTTGGTTTATAAATTGCTATAATACTTCTTACATTCATGTAAATCATATTAGAAATTTGTCGTAGGAAATTAATGGGCAGAATTTATTTCTGTGAAGTCTTAGTCGCCTTTATCGTGGTCACGCACAAGACCTTTTGTTAATGAGTTCCATTTAAGTATTTAATTTTTTATAATGAAATTAAAGCTTATAAGGGTAATGCCTGAGTAGGAAGCGGTGCGGCGTGCACGACACGACAAATACACGCTTTTGTATAACAACGGTTTAGAATCAGGCGTTACTTTACGGAAATCCATTATATTAAAGTTGGTAACCCCCCGCACTCCCTCAATTGCGTGCACTATCCCTGTCACCACTAATCCCAGCACCACTACTCCCAATACCACTACACTAGGAAAGACACACCACTGACGACAATATGACACGTGTTTCGCCTCTACACGAGACATCTTCAGGTGATGTAGAGGCTGCAGTGGCTGACCGCTAAGACTCTTAGTTAGGATAGTGCACGCAATTGAGGCAGGACGGGAGATGCTCTTCAAACTAGGTACGACACATCATTTCATTTTATCGAGCGGATGTACGTAAGTTAATTTTTATCAACTTTAATAAAAAGGCTAGGTATTTAGAGCCCGGTTAAATGGTGCATTTCGGGGGAGGGCACAGCGTTAAGTGTTCCCGTTGCAATAGATTTATCAAAAGAGGACATCTTTTATTAATAAATCCATGGCGCGACAACGCACAATTTTACTTTAACTTTAACAAAGAAGGCTACAGATGCGTTGTCAGCTCTGAGGACCGAGATGAAATACCTCACAGCCTGTATTAACACTGGGTCTCTACCCTTTAGACATGAACACAGTAGTGCACGGACGACCTACTGCTTGGCGGCAGAAATGCTAAGGTGGTGCATCCGAACACGAGCATTTAAAATTACTATTAATGATTTCATTTGTGCCGGCGAAGCTCGAACTTGTTTTGCATGTGTTTTTTACGTGGTAGGTACCATGCTGCAGCTATACTACTGGTATAGTTGTAGCACGAATGGGTCGGCTCGATCGGGGAGGGATCACGCTCTCACAGAACACCAGCGTACAATAGTAACTTAACGCTGCTTGTGTTTCCCATGGTGATTGTAGAGAACCGAAGATCCTTTTTTACTAGAAACGAGACACTCCATCTTAGTCCTCACGCGTGACTACGCATCTGTATTTAGATTCTTAATCGAGGTTAGATGTAAATGTCGATGAGCTATAGCATCCCCTGACAATCAGGTGGTGTGTTCGTTTCTCATTCTTATTCCATATAATTAAAAATTAAAAATTTTGTGCAACCGACTTCAATATAAATTATTAAGAATTACTCAATAATTATTGGTCAGACCTTAATCAAATTTATATGGGACCACATGAGAAGCACCAGCTATCAAATAAACACCCAGTAAAAAGCTATGAGGTAACACACATAAAAACATACAGTCGAATTGAGTATCGTCTCCTTTTTGAAGTCGGTAGAAAAAAAGTTACTAATAACGCTGTCGTCGCAAGGATCCGTGTTATTTCTTATTTTAATGGTTCTTTTGTGTCCTACATGAAAAATACTAAGTTCAATTTAATAATAAGCAAATCAAATAAGTCAAGTTTTTAAATATGATAAAATTAATTATTATTTATATCTAATCATTATGTCTTGTAAAATTGTTTATAAAGAATCAACCTTGTATTGGCAGTGTAAGAATATCCACTACCCCATTTCGTCCCGTGAAACAGAATATGGGTAGCAGCATCTTCCTGAAAACATATCAAAATTATTAAATACTGCGGTGGCAACCCACTTACTATGGCTAAATCCTATGAGGCAATCTATGTTCAGCAATGGACTTTTCTAGGCTGTAATGGATGAAGGATCGATGATATAAAGAAGTTTAGTGCAACATTCTGCGTAGCATGTTGTTGTGTGTTGTTCCACTGAGGCCTTTTCCTTGTTGAATATAAATACTATGCAATATTTTACTGGAATATGAAAAAGATCGGACGTGACCGGAGGAAGCGTAAAATCTACATCTAATACAACCTGATATTTGGATAGTTATCTTAATGTTTCATCATCATTATCATTACGACCCTTCAAGAAGGTTAAAAACCTCCCCCAAGAAGTAACACAAAACACGGTCCTAAACCACGTGCATTCATTGATTTCCTGCATTTCGTACCAGGTAAAGGTAAAAGTAAATCCAGTAGAGGGGGGCCTTGAGAACCTTCCCTATCGACTGCCGTTTCTCAATTTTTGGAGGAAAACATGAAAAACTCATCTTTGTGGCGTTATTTAAAATCTGCCGACTCCAGCTGTGGATTGCTGCGGTATGAATATGCTTATTTGACCTTATAAATATATATTAAAACTTATTTCTAACATGCACCATGTTGAACATGCTTCAGTATTCCAATATATGATACGTAATTTAAGATGGCGCGTACTAAAAATAAACAAATAACGCAATAAATAGGAACGGAATGGACTGTAAGCCGAGCCAATCGTTCACAAAGTAGTTCGTTCATCGGGTAATCTGAACCGATCCTATTGTTCAACGTTTATTGCTTTAGGATCGAAATTAGAAAAATAAAACTAGTAAATAGGAA